CCGGCGGCCGAAACCGGCCCGGCTCCCCGGGACATCCCGGCTCTCGGGAATGCCCTCGCCCGGCGTCCGGCGGAGAGGGCTGTGGCCGCTCCCCGCCCGGGCGAGCGCTGCTAGCCGATGCCCAGCTGGCGGGGCCGGCCGAGCCCGAGGGGCGGCGGCAGCACGGGCCGCGGGCGCAGAGTCCGGCCGGGCGGGCGCCGCCGGCCGCGCTCAGGCGGTGGCGGGAGGGGCGGGGCGGGGCGGGACGTACCAACAGCCCCCCGGGGGAGGGCGCCGTGACGCCCCCTCCCACGCGGCGCCCCCGAGACCAACGGGAACCCCCCGCGACGCGCGGAGCGCGTCCGCGAGTCCCGCAAAGCGGGGCGGGATAGAAGGGGGCGAGGCGACTGGCCCCGGGGCGGGGGGGGGGGGGGGGGGGGGGGGTCGCGGTGGAGGCGCCTGGCACACGCGTCCCGCCTTCCCCCGACCCCCCCTCCCTGCGGCGGGTGGTGCGGCCCGCTCTGAGAGGGCGGGAGCGGCGCGCCCCGCCCCGCTCAGTGACACAGGCTCCGTGTGGGGAGGCGCCGGCGGCGCGGGCAGCGGGACCGGGAGGGACCGGCCGGGCTTCGTAGCGGCGGCGGCTGCGAGCCGAGTGCGAAGCATGGCAGGGGCTGGAGCCGCTGCGGAGGCTGCTGCTGGTTTCCCTCCTTCGCCGCCTCCTCCCGCCCGCCGGGAACTTTTCGTAGCGGCTGGTGGCGGTGCCTCCCCCCGGTGGTGGCAGAGGCGGCGGCGGCGGCTGCTGCGTTCGGCGCTGCCTCCTGGGCCGGGGCTGGGGCTCCTGGGGCTGGTTTTCTCTCATTTCTGCTGCAGTAAGTGGAACTTTTACCCTTGGCGGACGGGTGAGGGGGCGGGTGGAGGAAGAGGAGGAGAGAAACCCGAGCCCCGGCAGCGCCGGGGGACGCGGCCGAGTTGAGGGAAACTTTGTGCGGCGGCCGGCGGCGGGGAGGGGCGGCGGGGGGAACCGGGGCGGCCGGGGCCGGGACGGTGGCGGAGGGAGGGATGCGAGGCGGGTCCGAGCCGGAGCCCGCTCCGCGGAGAGCTATGGACTCTTTCCTCCGGGAACATCCGCTGCGGGTGTCCCGGGAGGCCAAGCTTCCCTGGCACTCGGCTGCGGTGGCCGCGGCCCGGGTGGGGCAGCAGGGAAAGTTTATTGTTCGCGGCTGGGGCTTCCCCCGGCGGACGGCAGGTTATCCGCTGTAATTCCCGTGCTGGGCGGCGGGGTTTCGCTTGTTTGCGGGAATTCACGGGCACTCCCCCCACCCCTCTCCTTTAGGAAGGACAGAAGGGTCTTGGTGTTTTATGCGGGGGAGGGATGGTACGCGCTCTGCCTCAGGCGGTGTGGGCTTGTGTCGTTGTTCCCTCTCAGAGCGAAACCCGTGCTGGTTTCGGTGTCGGGTCGCTGGCCGCTGCCGAGGTGGGATCGTGTGCTCGCTGTACATCTCCCGCATCCTGAGCAGCGGCTGCCGCGGGCACTGCGCTGCGGGCTCGGCGTGACCGCCCGCAGGAAAATGCCAGCACCTACTCCCCCTTCCCCTGGATCTTCCTGCGAGGAACAAACAAGCGACGTAGCAGTTGGAAACTGAGCAGGAATTTATTTATTTATTTATTTATTTGTGCTGTGCTGCATGCGGCGTAGTGTGCGTAGTGTCTTTTTTTTTTTTTTACAGCAGTGGAAGAGGAGAGGAGATAAAAGTAGACTTGGGCAAGAGCAAATCGAAAACCCTCTTGCTGCCGTTGTATTCCCAATGCAGTAATGAATAGTTGGCAAGGATATTTTATTATAGGAGACGCTGTGTCCCTTCCCTCTTTAATGAAGGAAGAACAAGTTAAAGGAGGTAGTCTCTGGAGGTTCGTGTGATAAAAATACCCAGGAACGAGCAAGACATGCCGCCGTAAAACACTTGTGTAGTATCTGAGAAATGCTTTCTCTGGGAGGGAGTTGAGGCGCTGTAGGATTGTGCTCGTGCATGTAATAGTCTCCCCCCTCTGGCAATGATGTACCTTTCAAAAAAGATTATTGTTACTAAGTTTGTAAATATTGAGAAGGCATCGCGTTTCAACCTTAAAGGCTTGAAGACTTAGTTTTCATATGGTTGGCAAACTTTTTCCACTGGCGCTTTTCTCCCCTCCCTTTGTTCAGGGTTATTTCTGCTCTTTTGCGATTAAAAAATTGAAGTTGCAGACTTGACATAACCTTGACAAGCTATTTTTACATCTAAATGTGAAGTTAATAGTAACAATGAAGCTAAGAGCATCCGTGCCTAGTGTCATACAGCGACTCAACCATTTTAGTCTTGATGAGTGTAATTTGGGTTGTCAGTCTTCCCGGATTCTTCTTTTTGCATAAGTGAGCTTGACTGATAACACTTCAGAACATCCGGCAGGAGTGGCAATGTTGTGTTGAAATAATTTTGTTCTTCGAGCACTAAGTTTTGAAGTATAATCTCTGGATAAAAAGGAAAACTTGAAAAACTGCTACAGACTTTTGGACTTGGAGGTAATCAGCAGGGGAAGAGTTTTTTTGTCGATATCGTAGGTTTTAGTTTTCTTTTCACCTTGAAATTTCCCACAGTTGTTTTCATTGTTTCTGTAACTGTAACATGTGACTATGAAGGAATAATATTATTACTGTGGCTCTTAAGAGTGCTCCTAAATATATTTTAAGTATGTTTACATGTTGATGGCGTCTAAAACTGCTTATTACTTTTGGTTGCCTTTTGTCTTGCTACTCGGCCAATTCTGATAATGCTAGCAAAAGGATGATTTGTAAATGGTACCACAAAAGATCCCAACCCTAAAAGAATAAAGTTGCTACAAAACCAAATAAATTTTTATCCAGTCATTTCGATTGACAGTTAGAATTGATGATTTATTGGAGCTATAATTCCCCAGAGACATATTGCCAAAAACCTCTCAACACTCACACTAAAAAACTGAAGTGGGAAAGAGAAAATATATCAAGAATCTGAAATAACGGCAACTTTTCTATTTTGGAAGAAATACAGACCTGCTTTAATAAATGCTGCTTCTTTTACAAAAGCAAGAACTGCTGGCTTCAGGTTATATGTACGAGTATTCTTCCACTTGCCTGTCAAACAGTGCACGATACAACGAAGTGCATACTGAAGTTACATGATCAAACTAATACAACCTTGAGCTAGGGGACATGTATGGCATCCATAAGA